CGTTATGTGCATACCTTATTTTAAGGACTTAACGCCAGGAGCGTTTACTAAAGTTAGCCTCGTAGACCCGGCGTAAATCGAATTTAGCGTTTATTTTAGTCTGCTCGTACGCTCTTCCCCGCGAAGAGCCTACTCGCAGACTACGTTTCTTTGACGCCAAGAGTTTATTAAACAAATTGATGTTGTCACCATTTTAAAAAAGTCATTTTTAGTCTTAAATACCTAAAGTTTACTGGATTAAAAATACAATGAATTATTACCAGGATTCTATTATCAAACAAAACGAGAAACCCACATCGTCGACATTCTAATTGCCTTCGTAGCTGGCGGGATTGCTTTTGTTTTGGCGGCGAGTTGCGGGGCCGTGAGAGAATTGGTGAGGAGTCAAGCGAAAACCAAAAGAAATGAGGCAGGCGGAATTTTCACTCGCGGGTTCTCTGCTCGTAAATTCCCTCGCGGGCTTGACCCGCGTGAGCTCCGCGACCAAAAATCACTCGATAACAAATCCCGCCAGCTACGCAAGCTAAAAAAATTTGGTTCTCAGCTCATGCCGGTCACTGGAGTGCAGAGAGTGTCACGCAGACGTTCTTTAGCTGTCATACTGATTCAGTAAATCTGTTCGCAGCCCGTCTGAGAGTAACAGTGATCGATGGCAATCATTTACGTTAGGTCGGCTTCCAATAAACGCCAGCTATCACAATAAACACCGGAACCTCAATAATCACCACCGAGGAATCAGAAACATGCGCTCAAACTTTCCGCCCCACTTCATGAAACTCAACCATCGACGTCACTTAACTTAGCGGTTTTTCGAGTGCATAGCCATAGGCTTTTTTCTCTTATCTTTCAGATGAAGAACGCCTGTTTCTGGAGCGCTGTAGCACTCGTGGCTATTGTTCTTTGTCTTGAAATAGTAAAAGGTAAGGAAAACTTCTATGCATGCAGTCCATGCAGTCAGCTATCTCTCAGATGAGGGTTGTTATTGTCTATTTATGTGAACTGCAAATTTTTTCCCTTATGACTTACCGCTCTATGTGATCCAGGCGTTTCAATTTTTTTGTTTACGGTGATCTTTTCATTTATCTCTTAACTTTCTATATATGTTTTAAAGCCCCGGGATCGCAACATTTCAACGCAACATATCGCAACATTGTTGGCCCAGCATTTGCATGCGCTTGTCAAACGGTGGCAACGTTTCAACGCAACATATCGCAACATTCTTGGGTACAACATGTTGTGCGCGTTCGGCTACCCTGTTGCAACGTGTTGCCACATGTTGGGTGTTGCAAATCGAATTAGTGCGCATGCCCTGGTGCAACTTTGTTGCAGGAACCTGGTCAAACGAATATAGCATCATACAAAATCCGCAATTAGAAAATAGCCCAAGGAAAATACGTGCGCTGATCGCTCGTGCTAGTTGTGTTTCTATCGAGTTTTAGTATAAATCTACTAGGGTTCTATCACGAAAGGCGTTCTCTGATTGGCTACTCTACTCACTATCTATTCTGTGGTAGATAGTGAGTGGCGAAGCAGTGTGCCCTCCTTAACAAAATGAAGGCCGCTTCCTGGCGTTTTCAAAGTGTCTGCGAAGTGAATTTAGATGACGATTTGAACGACTAGTAGATTTATACTAAAACAATTAGATTATTCGCTCTCGATTTCTATGCCTGATAGTTGACTAGGGCTGCGCCCTCGTCAACTATCGCGCGAAAGAAATCTCGAGCTCATAATCTAATTGTTTAATAGAAACACGATTTTTAACCACTCAGCGCGTATATTTTCCTTGGGCTATATTGTGAATGAGATAGAAAAACATGTTCCGTGTTTCCATCGAGTTATGGAAACACGAGTGGAAGTTTGGGAGAACTCGAAAAAGCTGTGGAAACACTGGCCTGTCGGCTCGTGTTCCCACAACATTTCTCGTTCTCCCAAACTTCCATTTGTGTTTCTATTTAACAATTAGATTATGACCTTGAGATTTCTATGAGGTGATAGTCGACTTTCACCTCATAGAAATCGAGAGCGAATAATCTAATTGTTTTAGTAGAATTCTTACTAACATTTTCTTCAGCTAACCATTTCCAATTGTTTTTATACATTGTATTTAACTTTTCGCTTTAGGAAAATCGCGTGGACTGAATTGTCGTTTGGAATTGCCTGTTGTGTACGCGCCGTCGACTCGAGTCTACTCCGTTTTAGTGGTATCTTTTAGGGGCTGAAATAAAGCTGAGCCACACCCAGATTGGTCTCCTTTGGGGGTTAAATTCATATTTTCTGTCGAGCATCCCCGACCTTTTCATATGGGAGTCTCCCACCCCTCCCCCTCCCCCCCTCCCCCACTGTTGACTCCTGGACAAGCTCATAAATTCCATCCTTCTTTTGTTTCAATAGGATCTCGGATGAGAAAGATAAACGAGGTAGGACGGCGTCCAATTCATGGTCACTACTGTGGGGACACCTTCATACCCATGTACAACTCAGTGTGTCGTTACTACAGTGGAAAGAGAAAACGAAGTAAGCAATAGGTCTTTTAGTTCACTGACAAACAGACCCTACCTCAACGCTTTGGGCATACTATGCCATGAGCGAGCCGGTGGTTCAGTTGTTAGCGTGTTGGTTTTTGTCAGTTAAAAATAACCCTAAGACAGTAGATGTAGCTAGCAATCTTGCAGTTTGTTGATCCCTCGACGTTAGTGCACCCTCTAACATCTAGCATTTTGACGTATGTTACTTTTGTTACCATTTTTCTGTTTTTTGCTTACAACAATTCCTGTACACCCACCCCTTCCTGATTTTACCCAGTGTTTCTGTGGAGATTTGGGAACCCTTTTATTACGCGATACCATACTTTTACAACTCAAATGCCACAAAGGTTTTGCTAGCTATATCTACTGCTCTGGAGGGATTTTTTGTACAAAAACTTCATAACCATTCCCCTCTGGTAACTATGCTTTGGGCGAGCCGGTGGTTCAATGGTTAGAGTGTTGGATTTCAGAGAGTCAATGAATTCCGTAGTGTCTCGCTAGTCTACTGTTAGGGGAACCTGATAAAATGTTGGACGGGGGAGGGGAAGAAGGGAGGAGAGAGACTCTGATGGTCAGAAACCCAAGTTAACCGCGGGAGTTGTGGGCCACTAGGCCGTGAAGACTTACATCAGTCAACGTCCACAGATCGCCATGTTGTTATTTCTCTCTTTATTTTGATTTTCATCAACATGGCAAAATGGCCGTCTAGCTAATCGCGTGAAATCAAATTAAGGAACGAAGAGTTTATGGAGAAATTTTCAGTCAACCAAGCGGTTGGGTATCTTTTTAACAAGCGATAGCGTAGCCAGAGGGAGTAATTAGAGTGATCAGATTATGCAAATGAGCAGTCGGTCGGTTAGTCGATCATCCGTAGACTTTTCAAAATGGCTTCCAAAGCAGCGAACTGATCGATCTTTGGCGTTTGGAGTCGAACAAGTGTTCCCAAATTAAAGACTATTTGGTAAACAACAAAAGTGGGTGTATAATTCGATCCCTCGATAGCTTTGACACCTTTTAACCAAAGCGTTGCGAAAAATCATGTTTTCATGCTCAAAAAATGCTTTTCTTCCGCGAATTATACCAAATCTCCACACTGTCTCATTTTCTTATATAATAGTACGTTACTTTTATGGCTCGAACATTTTTGACATTTGTTCTGTTCGTTCTATTTTCGGTTGATTTGGATCAATATTGTCAATCGGCATCAAACTCTGCCGAAACAGATGAGCTGGTTGAATACTTTTGGCGTCAAAACAAGAGGCAGAAAAGGAGGAACAAATTAGGGTATAATTTTCAGATGTTTCATCTGAGCCATCTCCTTTGTGCTCCAAGTTTGATCACCGCTCAAAATAAAGAAATAAAGGTATTTCTAAGAAGAATTAAGAATTGATCACCAAGCGAAGTAAATATAGATATCAGTCGCAACAATCCTTGATTATTTCTGGTTTCTTTTTTGTACTTTCCTGTTGTTTTGCTAGCTCAGAAAACTATTATTTTGAGGTTATTTTTGTTTACAGTGAAAGCTTTCGTAAACGGACACCTTCGGGACGCGAAAAAAGGGTCCGTAGCCAGAGCTGGCCGCTTACGAGAATGGTTCTCGTAAAGGGCCACTAGAGTTGTAATGTGTATATGGCCGCGGCTTACGGGAGCTTGCCCAGCCAACAAAAAACTTTGGGAATACCAAAAATGACACCATTTCAAATGATTTTTTTGTTTTTGATAATGGCGATGACTGTATACAGAAAACTGCCGTACTATGCGATATACGGATTATTAACGCAGTACTAACTGTAACACTATGCGATATACATGGGATTTCCTTTCGGGTGTCCGCTTACGGGAGATTAAAAACAACAGAAAAGCCTAAATCGTAAGCCCTCCAAGTGTCCACGGCCACTTACGCAAATGAATAAATAAAGAGTTTGTATCGGAGTTCAAACCGGGTTTTGTGAAGGCGGTCGTAAGTAGAGCTGTCCGCTTACGAGAGTATCCGTTAAGAGAACTTCCACCGTATCAGGAAAATGACCTTAAATATCGTGACATCTTTCTGAGCTGATTGTCTGTAAATGGTTGGTACAATATGATCAAAAGTACTAAAAACAGACGCTGACTTTGAAACAAAACGAGTAAACAAGAGAGCATGAAGGGTAAGTGAGTTAATTTCCCATATGGCCTTAATCACAAGGTAATCACTCTCAAGTTATTTTTAGATCACTCTCAGTTTCGGAAATCCCAGGAGAGTCCAGAAATCCCCAATCCCACGACGCGGATTTTTGTTCACGTGGACAGCCCAGGCGGCTTTTCGAGTATTTTGATCCTCCACGCACACATCCACGCGACGTGCGAGGTAACGTTATCTGCGGAAGAACTGGGTACCATGTCTAAAAATAACTCAAGAAGAATTACTTTCTTACCTTACTTCCTCTCTTGGAGTAAATAGATCGTAATATGAGCAAGAAATTGTCCATCACTCACCTACCTCTCTTTTCGTTTTGTGTTGATAGGTTCTGCGTTAATAGACGAAAAGCAAGCATCAAGTTTTCTTCATCCCCGGGCCATACAAAGTAAACGATCTGGAACAAATGTTGTTGAAGAGTGTTGCACGGAGGGGTGTCACTATGAAGAAATCCACGAATACTGTTAAAAGCAAGATAGACTTTTAAACAATTAATTCATTTAACAGAGGTGTTGTATATCGCTGGTATATTGTATTTTAAGACAGATTTCTATAGAATGTTTTAATTTATAAGGCGTTTACGAAACGACGTTTGTAACGGAAATGAACAATAGAGAATTATATACTCTTGCAAAAATTAAAGGCTAGATTTTTAACAATATTGTTATGTGTTCAATCAGTGGTAAAGTTGTCTGTGCGAGGGATACGAGAGCTACAGAGACGCCAGCACACAGTGCCAATGAAAAGACTTTAAAATTATTCAAATTAATTCATACTTAACAACTTTGCAATCTTGTTTTCTACATCCTGTCAAAGCTTCTAATCATTCAGTGTTAGGTGTCTTTCCTTATGTTCTCTCTCTTAATACACCATCTCCATTAGTTTTACTCCCTGATTGATTTACTGCCCCTCGATTTCTTCTTTAAGCTAATTAAACTAACTGAGTAAACCTACGCAACACGAAAAGAACTTGCTCGTAAACGGGGCGGTACAAAACGTGGACCCCACAATCTGGACCCCCTACTGTACCCCCTTTTGGACCCCATCTGGACCCCTTCTGCACACCCTTCTGGATCCCTTCTGGACCCCCATCTGGACCCCCTATTTTTTCTTCCAGAAAATACAACTTAGAACATAACTTGGTGGAGTCTATTTAATTAGTGAGTAAAATGTGAAGAAATTAATGAATTCACGAAGTGTTGTGTCTAGAATAATATAATAGCTGCGGCCGCAGTCAACTGGGTTTATTTTTTATAAACCTGGTTAAAATTCCCAAATACCTTAACTCGGTTAAAGGTTGGTTATGACGAAACAACGGAGTTATATTTTATGAGCGGCCACATTGAAATAGGTTATGATTTCAATTCACGTCAAAACATGGATAAACCAACAAAACGACAGACTTGGAAAACTACGGTCTTTTAGTTTCTTGATTCTTTTTCATTGTCTTCGTGCGCTTCAGTTTTTTTACATTCACGGCTAAGGCAGTCTCTATTCCTTCTCATGCGCACTATACACGAATTTCTAAGGCAGCTCTTTCGAACATGATGTTGATTTCTTGTAGACGTCAGAGTGTTCTCCATCGCCGTCGAAATGAATGAATCGTCCTCGAATTTGACTCTATCCAAAAAATCAGGTGTGGTTTGAGGAAATCACTAGGCTTTAATAGAGAGTACCTCCAAATGAACATCAACTCCTTTCACTAAGAACTTTGCGTATTTTTTTATTTATGACGAAAAGAAACACTCGCTTCCGAGCATCTTTATCGATAGAGAAGCGTGGATTGTGGCATCTATAGGAACTGGGAAACGTTCTCGGTCCACAGCTGTTATGTTTGGAAAATGTACTCCACTTAACATTTTTTACGAATTCATTCATTCATTTGCATTTCTTGCCCCTTCCCTTTAACGTACTCTTGTGTTCTTTGCGGAGGTCGATTTAAATTTCTCCTTCTAAGGTGAAAGAGCGCTTCCTATTCAGGCCATGGTTCAGGCGTGAGGGTTCCTGGCAAACTTGATTGATATGGTATAACCGATACATATAAGAAAAAAATAAAAATCCGCTGTAGTAATGCAACTGTTTCGAACTGTTGTTACCACTCGCCATGTTCAGAAGAAGATTATGCACTTGTTTACGGTTCTTCACGCAAGAGTTAAAGATCCGTAAATTTTGGATTTCATGCTGTGGCTGGTGAATCTAAAACAAAAGCTGCGTAGATTCCAACACATGAGCATATTCACTTTACAACACGCAGCTGAGCTGCACGCGGCACGTGCGGAGTTGTCGTGAAGTGACAATACAGCTGAATCCCAGCTGAGTTTGTGAGTGACTCACCAGTAAAACCCGGCAGCGCTGTGAAGAGTGATTCATTACCTCAGTTTTGTTCACTGTTGTACAACATCAGGCAGCACTAAAAACAGGTAAATCAACACAGTAACTGTCTTTCAGCATGCCACCGAAAAAAGCAAAGCATCACTGTAAGAGTGTTTCCCTTCTCCGAAGAAACGAGAAAAAAGTAGCACTCAATCGACGTAAATGTCTTCTTTTTTATTTTCAGATGGAGCGATTTAATAGAAGATTCTTCATCGTGTTGATTCTTCTTGTTTCAGACGTTCACGTAAATCGAGGTAATAATTCAACTGGTTTATTGCCTGGTAGAGCGCTTTATAATTTCGCTGCCGAAAGTAATTGGTTTTGATTTTACTACGGTTTGAGACTTGACTGAGTAGTCTAATTGCTTAGAAATTGGTTTGGTTTTGGTTTTAATACACTCAATTGAAAACCGCTCTTAGATGTATGTTTAAGTTCCTCAATTGGATATGTTCTCTGTTTCGATTTAGCTCTCTTAGTGAAAACCAATGAAGCTGGTCAGCGGCCAATCCACGGATTCTACTGCGGTCATCAAATAAAGAATGTCTACTTTAAAGTGTGTACTCAGGCAAGGAGAATAAAGAGTAAGTGAGCAGCTCCATCGTTTTCCATTTTGTCTTTGGTAAAAGGAGAAGACCGCTTGGTAAAAACGCCTTTGGCAAGCCTACTAAGTGACTCAGTAATGGGTTCGGTTTTTACCGTTTCACGGTAGTCCTTGGGATGTTGCTCTAGTGTGGTTTGTCTAACTAACAAGTGATTTTAAACTGATTTAAACATGGCCATGTGGGGGACTACTGCTACTAACCTGTTCCACGGTTATAACGAGTTACATTTTGGTCGTTTGTGTAGGGTCTGTGCTGGCGGATGAAAAAAAAGCCAACAGTTTTCTTCGTCGATTCGACAAAGATAGCCCGTCCACCGATATAGTGCAGGAATGCTGTAGAGAAGGATGCCACATGGAAGAAGTCCGGGAATACTGCTGACCATGCGAAGCAGAAAATGAGCGATTGAAGCATTGAATAGGTCTTTTAAATAATGGCTTTCCAAGGAAAAAAAGAAAACGAAATGCTTGAAAACCAAAGGGGATGCAGATAGTCAAAACTGGACAACATTAAAATGGATTGCATTGAAATGAAGTAGCTGTAATAGGACTACATGGTGTCCAACTTGTAAATAACTGAACGAAACCATTTCAAGGACTGCTAAATGTAATGCATCAGTCAATTCTATGAGAGCCCCCCCCCCCCCCCCCCCCCCGGGCAACCGCGGGGCATTTGCTCACGTTGTCAGTCCCGGGGGAGGGGCATCCGCAATTTTATCGCGGCCCGGGGGCTGGGGCATTAGACACACGTAAAAAGGAAAGAACCAAGGATGAATTCATCGGGAAAAACGAGACGTTTGAAAAAACAGTGTTTTCTCAATTTTAGATATTTCCTCACTACTTGTAAGCATATAAATATAAGCGACAAGGTGAACTATATTTTGTTTATCACAAAACAATCACTGAGATGAACACGACTATTTCGCATTTCGCATTCAAAGCTAGCCTAGCATTTTTTAAATTCATGAAAGTGGAGTTAAAATACTTAAGGTTTGCGAATTCAAATGATGCGGTCTTCAAGACAGATCTTGCGAGCTTAAAATGCAATGCATCATCATTTAAAATGTCTTGATTCTTTACAGAAAAAGTAGCCTGCGAATACAGGCGCCTAT